AGGGGGAAGGAGGGAGGGAGAGAGCGCAACTGCTGGACCATTCCCTGCTTCCACAGGATTTCTGTCACCAAGTGCTGCTAGATGCCTGGCTCCTGTGCCAACAAGCTGTAGCAGGTGTGGAGCCTTGGAAAAAGAGCTGCAGTTGCTGGTTAGGCTGGAGGCAGAGAATTAAAGGACATTAGATTCAATCAGAAAGAACAAAAACTAGCCAAAAACCCACAAAAGATGCTTGATTGAGAATTTGCACGTGTGGAGGCAGTCTTGGATCAACAGCCACTCAAAGCTCCTGCTCTATTGCGTGCACATCACAGCTCCATCCTCTGCAGTGATCCGGGGAAGGATAACCCAAGTTGGGCCAACAGCCCAGCCAGGATTAGGATCAGCTCAGATTAAACAGCAGCAGCCGCTCCTTTTCACGGAACCACAGACTGGTTTGGGTGGGAAGGGACCTTAAAGCCCACCCAGTCCCACCCCCTGCCATGGGCAGGGACACCTTCCACTAGACCAGGTTGCTCCAAGCCTCATCCAGCCTGGCCTTGGACACTTCCAGGGATGGGGCATCCACAGCTTCTCTGGGCAACCTGTCCCAGTGCCTCCCCACCCTCTGTGGGAAGAATTCCTTCCTGATGTCCCATCTCAATTTCCCCCTTCTAGTTGAAACCCGTTACCCCTTCTCCTGTCACCCTTCTCCCCTCCCACTGTGGGCAGACAGTTGTACACCCACCCAGGGTGACCGGCTCGCCCTCCCTGCGCTCGCACTCCTCCAGCACACATCCGCATCCAGAAGGAACGGATCTGCTGCACACGGGGAGTTCACTGAGGGGACTGGAACATCAAATGGGATGTAATAATTTACACCCCACGTAGCTGAGCAGCAGGACTGCATCCAGACGGCCAAGTTTTTTGGCTTAATGTTATTGAAGCCAGTGACAGAAAACATTTTTCAGCCCACTCCCCCACTTCAACAGTTTTTGAAGTCTGGCATCCCATATTTATAAATGTATCCGTCTTGCCATCCCTTTTCTGGGTTATATAAATGTTTGATGGAATCGTTCTCCAAGGAAATCAACTTTTTATAAGGATTTAATGATAACTCATTCAAATTCCCTTCCCAACATGACAGCTGATTAACCCTTTGTCAAGGGTTTAAAACAGGCCAACAGATTTAAGGAGAAAAAGCCCTCTGTTTTAAGAATGCAATTTACATTGGAAAAGGGAAAGTATGAGATCCTGGAGCAGCCAGAAACAGCATACCTGTTCCTGGAAGAATAAAGGAAGCTTTAGAACTGGCACATACCCACGTGTTTTTATCTTTTTTAAAATTCTGTCCCAGTGACCCTTTTGTCACCGAGTTAATGCACACTTCCCCATTACTGTAATATTTCATTAGCATCAAAGAGCTGCCTCAGTCCCCAAAGTCAGGAAATTCAAAACTACTGGGCTGTGTCAGGCACGATTTATTGCCCTTAACTCACGATGAAGAATTAACTCGCTGTTCCCCGTCCATGCCCGCTGGAGGGGGAACACAAAGTTTTGCATAAACGTGATAAGTTTAACCCTATTTGGCCTAGCACAATCTACCTGTAGGTCACTTTGAAATACAATACAAAAGCAATCTTCAAACTTCAGTATCGTCAAATGACGAGATCAAGGAAAAGAATTAAGACCTGGCTTAAAAATCCCATTTTTCTTTAAGTCAGATGCTTCTGATAAGCATCACTGGTTAGAATTGTTCCTTTGCGATCCTTCGGCTCGAAGGCATCAGAAATCCAGATTCCCTGCGCATTAACAACGAGTCAACTGAATTCCATCTCCTGTGCTCCCAGGCAAGATTTCCACGCCTTCCAAAACCAGAGCAGGCAATGCTTTTCTTTTAAAGATCACGAGCACTTGCCAGGTAGTGTTCAACCGGATGCTCCCAGGACCACGCAGGGGGTTAACATGGGCACGGGCCCACGCAGAGTCACCATGGCCCCTCGCTCGGAACAGTGCCAAATCCACGTGCTGCAGAAGCCCAGCTGCTTCTCTTGCCCCAGAGACGGCCAAGACTGTCTAGTGAGGGGAGCCTCTCCTTCAGAGCTGGATAGCCTACAGTTGTCTGCGCCTAAAAATCATTATGGATGCATAAAATCCAAATGGATTCTTTCCTAAATATGACTCATGAAAACATACTACGAACAGCGTGATGGCAGACAACCGAACCAACACATCTGCAGTGTTTGGGGGAGGAATTATGGATAGTAGAAATTTAAAAAAAAATGAAGACAACTGAATTCCCGATGTCAGCGAGATGAATCCCCATCCTGTCCGGGTCAACATATTAACCACAACACTACACAGATAGTTATCATTTGTTAAAAAACCAAGATGGCACAATTGAAGTCGAGCAAAGGTTAACCAAAAAGGTCTCCTAAAGAGTCAGCAGGTATAAACAAAACGTCTCTTCGCTACAGCAATTTTGCAAACCGTGACATTTTGAAACAGTATTTTTCAAAGTCACCTAGCACTGAAAATCCTGACCTCTGAAGGACAGATTTAAATAAATACCTAGCAGAAGTGCACTTCATGTGATTTTATGATCAGCTGAATAAATGTATTATATACACTGTCAGGTATTATAACAGCTGACTAATTAACAGCGATGCAAGTGCTCTTTATTGCCTGTGTCTAGAGACTATTCCCTTCACTACTCCCTCCTCCCACAGGGAGAGTTCCCTCCAGGCTCTGCACTGAGTGTTTCCAGTCGTGTCAGCAGCGGGCTGTCCTTGGCAAGCCGAGTAAGATCGAGCACCAGCCCGTGACCCAGCCACAAGACACTCGGCGCATCCGGCACTCTGGGTCTGCCGGCTGCAGTAGGTAGTTCGGGATTTGTGGGAAATCTCGGGATTACTACGTGGCTTTTCTGAATTTTCAAAGAGGGTTTTTTGTTGTGCCTTTTACTAAAAGCAGAATTGATGCCCCCTGAATACCGGGGGCATCGCTGGGCTGCAGAACAGAGCTCACAGGCAGCTGGGGAACAGGCTCTCTCCAGTTTCTGCAGGGAGCACGCTAAGGAAAGGGGAGACTGGTGTCTGTAGCCAGTTTATTGCTTCACTTCTTTGCGCAGGCAGAGAGACTGTGGAGCGGGAAGCAGTGGAACCTCCATCACTGCTGACACTCCCCTGACACCTTTCAGACCTGCACACCGACAGAACAAATGCGTCAAGTTGCTGTAGAGCTGGTGGGCTGGGGTACCAGAGAACAGAAGGAGGTTCATCCCTCCTGTGCCATGTGCAAGAGAAAGCATGAACCTTGAAATACATGGAAGTTTTCAAAACAAGTTAAAAGCAGCTTTAGAAAATGCTTCAGTCCTCCATTTCTTTACCAACTGGCATACTGTTCCTAGAGTTAAGATTTTTTTTAAAAATGTGCTTCTGAGTTATGATCTTGCAGGTTTGCTTAAAATAGTAAATAGAAAATGTCAAGCAACCGTGTGACACTGAAGCCGAGTTTCATTTTAACTAAGCAACTCCTCCTTCTACACGTTTCGATGACAGGTTTCTTGTGCAAGCTTCTATCTGTACAACAAACCGAGTTACTCACCTACGAAAGGCTCATCAAACCGCTTACTGACCAATTACCGTGCGGGCTGTTACCCCCAAAGTCACCCACCAAAGACAGAGGTTACCAGCTGTGCGGACATACAAGATGTTGAGGAAGGAGAGGCACATGTGAGGGTTAATGGCAACACTTTTCACTGCAGGCACCGGCGCAGCAGCACTTACATCAATGAGATCAGACAGGTCGTGGATGTAGTACTTGAATACAGATGCATTGGTGGCTTCCAGAGCCAGCAGATACTCGTTTCTGGCCTTAATAGCCTTCAGTCTATTCTCTGTGTACTTCGCCTGGCGCTACGAGAGAACCAAAACCAGAATAAATTTTACAAAGAGGTGCAGCAGGACCAGTAGCATTCTTAGTAACACCAGAGAACACCGAACCAATCTTGCTCTGTTCACACAGCATTTGTTCGTTTGGATCCCAGTTTCCTCAAGACTCAGAATTTAGATTAATTATTTAGATGCTTTGAAGTATTACTACACTAGCCAGCTCTGCATTCGAAGTCTTCTTGTAAAACAGACAGCGGGCTGGGGAAGGTTGAGGGAAGACTGAAGGAACGAGGTGGGTTTATGAGGTTATGGCCCAGCTCCAGCACTACCACAGCAGCTGCTAGAAGCCCATAGGTAGTCTGAGCGCTGCTGCAGGCAGCCCGCCTCGTCCAACGGAAGCTAAGCCTAAACCTGGGCCTTTCAGAGACTAAATGAATCCAAAGATAACTCTTCACCTTCTGCTGGCTTGGAACTCCATGCTGAGCTACTTAACTGACTGACTGATTGCTAAGGCAACTAGTTCTGCCTGCAAAGTCAGTTTGGGGTTGCAGGTCCGACCGTAGTGCAGGTCAGATCTTAAATTGGAGTGAAATGAAAAATAAAAATCTTGTACTCTGTACAAGAAGAAAAAAAAAAAAAACCAAACCCACCACCAAAACATTAACCACAACTTCCAAGGCAGCAGTTGTTACTTTCATCCTCCAACCTCGTTTTAGCTTTTTGTGCCATGCCTGCATAACCTGGGCTAATACAAAACACCCGCCTGTGCTGAGCTGCTGCAAGGTCCCCTCCAAGCACCCTGCACAAGCAGCAAAATGCTACACAAGTACCTTCTCCTTCATTTTCTCTATTTTTTTGACAGAGCTTCGTCGAACATGTTTTTCTTCAAACTTGACGTTGGAAGTTGAGTCAGGGGAGCGCGGCGTCTGCTTGTCCTCTTGTTTCACCGACTTCCCAATCTGCTTTTCTTCCTGCTTCTCTGCCTCCTTCAGCTTGCTCTGAGCACTAATGCTGTCAGCGTTGTACATATGGTAGGTTTTCATAACCTGCAGAAAACGACACACAAGAGTCAGAGCGCCACAGCTGCGTTTGCTGAGGAAGAAAGGGGGTTACCCAACCAACAGTAGGCATACAGATGTTGTGCCTTACTCTACCCGCAAGACCGAGTCTTAGGGAGAACAGCCATACATATCTGGAAAGCTCACCAGGAGGGAGGAAAAAATCCCAAGAAATAAGTCACATGTTGTGACTTTTTTTTTAATTTGGCCAACGTACTGCCCAAACCCACAGATTTCTTTAACACAGCTATTTCATAACATCTGTCTATCACATTTAAAAGCAAGGTATCGCAGCAACGAAGCACAGGGATTTGGACAGTGAGCAGTAAGTCAGATCACTAGGTGAGAGCTAGAAATATCTAAACTAGCAAAACATTGAGGGAAATTTCATAGAATCTCAGAAAAGCATGAGAGAAGATGCACGAATGAAAGCGTGGCTCAGAATGAATCCGAAATCAAAGTGGATTATTTTGCAGCTGCTTCTTTGTTTAACTTTGGCATGCGCCTTCTTGTACATCCAATAAAGGAGTCATAAAACCCAAAAAAAGCTGCAGACTAAATTCTGCCTCCTTACTATTCAAAGGAAATTATATGCCAACGTTGGAAAATGATAGCTTTTCATCAGCAGGTAAATTTTCAGAAGGGATGCCTATCCGTCTTTCATCTGGATGAATCAGCCCTTCAAACACCCCAAGTCTCGAGGAACTGTATGCAAATCAAAAGTCTGAACACAATGACTGCAAAAGCAACTCGGGTTCAATTTGTTTAAATCAAATTTGAGATGTAAAAGTATGTCTGATCATCTGATGTAATAAAAATATTAATAAACGAGTGTGGTTCTTTTGCTCAGGGAGACCTGGACTCTGCACTGTATGGACAGCTTTTATTATAGCACATTTTTTCCTAAGTGGGAACAGATAAATATACCCCAAACTCCTCAAAAACCCATGTGTTTCACAGGATATTCACGTCTACCTTTGTGTTTACAAAACAGAATCAACAAACCAAAGGACATAATAGATAAGCTAGCTTTTTTTATCCCCGAATGCAAAGCCATTCAATTCACATACCAAAGTAAACATTACTATGACATGATCCTGATACGGGGCCTAAAAAATGCACAGCTGTAAAAAGACACCCCAATACAAGCTGTTCCAACATTAATAAAGACCGACCTGCCGGTAACTTATCTAAAATACAAACTCATTTATACCTATTTCACCTTAGTCTGAACCATAACATAACTCCACAGAGGTAGGACGCATGCTCTCTCCTTATGCAGCGATCAGCGAAGGTTCTCAGGTACAAAGAGATGTTGTGTTTAAACATGAAAGAGAATGTGAACGCAGCCAGTACGAGAGACTGTGAATAATTTACACGCACCCTTTCAGCTCCTGCATATGCTTAGACTAGAAAGCAGGCGTTTATAATAATAGATGCAGAGTAATTTCTTTTCTTCTATCACTGAAATTGGAACCGGCAGAAAGCAAGAGCAGCAGAAAAAGAAATCACAGTTTTAATGGTTTTATCCTGCTGACGGTGCCACGTTGGCAGCCTCGAGCTCTGCCCGCCCCACGCAGGCGATGGGTCACTGCTGAGTCACTCGTGCCGGCTGAGGGCAACAGTGTGCTCACGGACTGATGCGCGGGACCATCCGGGCCAAGAACTTACAGGTTGTAACAATCCTCTGTGTTTTACCTGTGAGGAAAACTGCAGATGTTGTTTGTATTCATTCTGCCTGAAAACAGGGATTCTGCCTATCTGCTGGACACCCAGCAGAACAAGCGATGCAAGTATTTCGAAAAGTGCCACTCAAAGCAATCCCACCCGTGATTAAATCGAGTCCGGCAAGACCTTTGATATCATCAGCAGAAACAGGTTTTTCAAAAGGAAAAGAAACTTCCTGGTGAAGGAACAATTTAAAAATTTTACAGCAGAAGCAGTGAATAAATGGTTTTTAAGTTCCTAGCATTAACATCAAAAAATTTCACACCCTACATTGCTTTGGCTATCAAAGGCTGAATGCTGGGAGATCTTCCTTCCAGTGACAGAGAAGTTACCAGGACTCAGTACTCGGCTCACAGACCTGTCAGAGCCTGGGATGCAGAAGCGATGGTGTGTAAACTCCAGTAACCAGCCACCCTACCAACAGCGGTGCCATGTGAACTTGGATTAGAAGTAAACCTCAGTTCCTAAAAGTCTGCGTTTAGAGACAGGTCTAGATACTTCTTCAGGATCCCATCCAAGCACGTTACTCAAAAGTTGAATCAGACTATGCCCTCAAAAAATAATTCCTCGAGATGGCAGCGCTGATGCCAGGCACGGCTGCATTCACACAGCCACCCTGTCCCCAGAGTAACCCGTCTGTCTTTCAGGAGCACCAGCACGACGCAGTTTGCTCGGACGACCGTAAACCAAAGCTGTACCAACTGCAGCGACAGTCCAGTGACCACAGGTCGGCTTCAGAGTGCCCCCAGCCTCCCCGGTACTGCTTGATCCTCTCGAGGAACACAAACCCTCTTTGCCCACTGAAAAGGCTCAATAATGCTAAACACTCTAACCCAGAAAAGGGGGGGGGGGGGGGCGGAAATCACAACCTGGATCCAGTGTGTCACCTCTTCAACTGCCATTGCAGCAGCAAGAACATTTTTCCTACTCCTGAGCCCCCTTTTTCCTCTGAAAGATCAGTCTGAGTATCCGGTTTCAGTGCCCTAATGAAGTTCCCTTCTCTACATTCTGTTATTCAGGAAACTTCGGGGAACTCCCCCTAATACTCTAGGATGGACATTTAACACCAAATTTCATCACAAGGTTGATATGCCATGGCTGGAGAAACATCCCTGTGTCATGACACAACATATCTTTAAGGAAGGATGAAAGAAAGGACATTTTGAGCAACAAAACCACGTGTACATTCTGCTTTTAAAAGAGAACCAAGTCAGTAACAGCTGCAGAAAGCCCAAATTTAATCAAACAACAGGCTTTTCCATTCATCTATGTGAGAAGAGAAATCCCCAAGCAGCACGTGAAGTTTCACGAACACATTCCTTCTCCTTCCCGAGGCAGTGCCCTTCTTGGTGTCTCCAATGGATATAGTGAGAAGCAAAAAGCACAGATGGAAGGCTATTACTCCAAAGGCAGCTGTTTTGCTGAAAGAGTTGAGGAACAAATAAACACGGTGGGTCTCCCCGCTGAAGCTGGACGCTGCCTTTTGTGCGCTCAGACCACACAAACCCACGGACCGAACATTTTTAGTGTATTCGGAAATAATTCTAAGATCTCATACTCTTTTTGAAACCAACACTGCAGCTGTAGCAGGTGAGCATGAAGGTGAGATCTTTCAGAAGCGGAGCCAACACTTAACAGAGCTGAAACAATCTAAGGAGAGAGTGAAAAAATGAGATTTATGGTGCTGTACCGACTGGTGAACACAGGCTGCCTCCAACTGCAAAGACTGCAGGCATTTATCAGCCCTGGTGCTGTAACAGCAGGCCGGGAGGAGTCAAACACTTCTTCCTTCTGCCTGAAAAGATGCCAAGAAGTCAGTTTGATTTACCGTGTAGAGTTCATTCAGGACCTTCATCAAGTCTTCCTGGAGCTGCAATCCCACTTCCTTGCTCTGCAACAAAACAGAGAAATGAAAGTTAATTGGGGAAGATGGTGAAAAGGCGGGGGAAGCCAGCATGCTCTGCATCTACAAATGATTTAGGCTCAATTAAGCACCGGTATTTATGCTGGCAAATCCAATAACTGCTCAGCCCAGAGCCACTTATGGTCAAACTGCACGAACAGTATTCATAAACTATGAATATGTGCACAGCCAGAAAAGCCTTGCAGTATGGAGACAGAGAAACTTCCAGAGAAGGTGGGATTTTCAATAGTACAAGCCTGGAAACACATAGATTTGCCCATTTTAGCAGGATCAAGCAAGACTATGAATATAGGACAGCTTGATATGGAAGCTGAAGAAACACAGGATAAAGCCAACAGGAATGATCTTCCTTTATCAAGCATCATATCACAAAACAGGCAATACTTCAGTTTTGCTGATGTAAGGTACCTCCTCAACAAAGCCAGACCCTGAGGCTGCAGTGACAGCCGGCATCCACCTCCTCCATGCTCCCATCTCCCTCGGCAGTCCTGCTCCTTCCCTTTGACCCTGAACCTCACTCCCAGCCCCTCAGTAGCGCCTGCCAGCCCTTCCCATCCTTATTCCTTGCCCCTCCACCACAAGCTGCCGGTGCCACCCCACCGCAACGATTCTTGAGGAAACGAGGTTGTTAAGACCACAGAATGGTTTGGGTTGGAAAGGACCTTAAAGATCATCTAGGTCCAACCCCCCTGCCATGGGCAGGGACACCTTCCACATTTTCCCACTAATTAGAAATAGCAAATACATCCACTGCTACATGTAACAGGAGTAACTTCATTCAGTTTACAGGCTTTACCCATTCAGTGCCTACTAAGGCAGGGCTTGCCTGACTGATCCTTTGCTATCCGCAGGTGAGAAATACGTAGTATCTACTGGCTCAGGCAAACTTGATAGGCTCAATATTATTTATGCCTACAGAGTTCAGGAATTGAAAATGATAAAGAGGGAATGCAGACAAACTCACATTTAAAAGCAGCCTTTCTGCCTAAGAAGTCAAGATAGCGCTAAGCCATGAGGAAAAAAAAATACCGATAAATTAAAAAGCAAACATAGAAAGATAATTCTAATTATCCTTTTTTGACTACAGTCCAGTTCAGCAGCGCTCAGTTTACTGCGTTTGAGATGACACATCCTTTACTACAGACTGATCAGTATGTTGTGCCCCTTCAGACTAGCCTGGCATCGCGCTGTCGGTAACGGGACATACGAGGAGAAGCATCCACAGTCCTGTGCATTTTCACACCTTCCCGTCCCACGTTCCTTCAACCTGCTCCATAGGCAGCCAGACGTGCTACTGGAAAAACAAGTATCTGACACAGGCGCTGACAAAGGGGAGCATCCTGCTTTTTCTGAGCCTTTAATTTAATTGAAGTGGGCGATTCCTAATCTCCTAGAGTTTGCAGACACAGGATCTACCATTTCTCCATTTGTGAAAGCAGAAACAAAGCTGAAGCGGCTGCTCATCCCTGCAGTGATATGGGTCGCAAGGATTTCACGTCTGCCTTTCTCTCCTCACTGGAGATGATTAATGAAAGTGACTGGCTGGGTCTGTTTTAAATGCCCCGAGCACTGAACTTTTCGCACAGAAGGAGCTTTTCAGCAGCACGCTTCACTGTGCTGGTTAAACTGCCTGGACCGGACCAATCATCTGCCTTTCACCCAGCTCTTTTCAGCCCATTTGCTTATTTCTTGCATAAAATTGTTCATTCACTGTACAAACTGCTGAAGCATCAATTATGCGAAATAGATTAAAATGAATATTTTAATGCATATTCAAGTCGAAGAAGAAAAGACGATGTGTAAGTGCCAAATTGTCAAAACAGAAAACTCTTTGTGCATCCAAAAGAGCTCTCAAGAAAGGAACTGCCAGATTGCTGGACTGGAAAAAGCCTTACATTAGGATGAAGGTAAGACAGATCACAGGTGTCATGCAAACAAGAGCTATGCAACCAACACTGGCAATTTAATGATGCTCCCTGTACTGATTCCACCAAAAAAAAAATAAAAAAAGGTTTGGGAGAAAAAAGCTGAGCTAGCTAACCCTGATAAATGAAAATGCATTGGAGGAAGCAGAACAGTTAGTCTGGGAAAGTCAAATGAAAATGCCTTAGACACTATCAAACATGTGGCTGAGGTGTCAAGTCCACCACCTTCTACAGCACAAAGAGAACTTTCCTGAGGTCCCATGGAGATCACAAGTGCATCCACATTGAAGGTTGATCATCTTCACCGTCACCATCCAGGCATAAGAGATTCCAAGACCACGCTAGAATGTTGCATGGAATTACGGATAAATACACACCAAGGGAAAAAAACAGCAGCCTCTGCAGTAGCAAACATCTCCAGGAATCAAGTTCTGTTTCAACATGCAATTCCATGTTATGTTTTTCAAAGACACACAGCGTTTAGGATGACTCATTTTATAAACAATCTTCCAGGAAAAAGCAATACATAACACCAAATCTGATAAATTCTATTATTATCTATCGCTGGCTGTACCTGCAGCCGGAGTATGTACATCCCTTAACAAGCTGGAGTAAGGGCTTGTGCAGCAAAATCTTATCTTATTGCAGCCTTCCAGTACCTGAAGGGGCCTACAAGGGTGCTGGGAGAGGACTTTTTACAAGGGCCTGTAGTGACAAGACAAGGGGTAACGGGTACAAATTGAAAACCAGGGAGGTTTAGATTAGATATCAGGAAGAAATTCTTCACAGAGAGGGTGGGGAGGCACTGGAACAGGTTGCCCAGAGAAGCTGGGGATGGCCCATCCCTGGAAGTGTCCAAGGCCAGGCTGGATGAGGCTTGGAGCAACCTGGTCTAGTGGAAGGTGTCCCTGCCCATAGCAGGGGGGGTGGAACTAGATGATCTTTAAGGTCCCTTCCAACCCAAACCATTCTATGATTCTATGATCTAATTGGCTCCAATAATAAACTGCGTGTGCAGGTGGGGAGGGGGTATCCCCACAAACCTTGTGTCCTCTGTATCCCATCAGATCTCAACACTTGTCCCCAACCTGGGAGATGATCTAGTCTGACATGCCCCATCAACGTCCCTGGAAGGTGGCACAGTGTGGGATCCCAAAGGCTGGGGAAGGGGCAGAGCCGGTACCACCTCACCGGTGCTGCTGCAAGGCTCCGCGCTGACCCGTGCCAGGCACAGGGCGCCTCTTGGCTGCTCATCAGAGCAGTGATCAACAGACCCAAGAGCACTGCTGGCACCAGCCATGTTGCCCAGGAGCAGCCTCAGTGTTCTTCCCGCAGGCTGCTTTCTCAAGCCTTTTCTTCAGCCCCGAACAAGAAAGCAGAAGCTGCCCCCAACATGCGCGCACACGCGTGCATACACGTACACGCACACGCATGCACACACCGCCCTTTGTTACAACAGGGTGTATATGCTCCATGTGCAGAGCCATAGGTTGCTGCCACCCCTCGCTGGAACACAAATTCCCAGCGCGCCGTGCCAGCTTCTCAACGGCCTCTTTGTTCCAAGCCCTCCTCCCCTCCACCTCCCCTCTAATTTAATCAAGATGTTTTTGGGATCTACTGCAGCACTCGCTGGGCTGTTCCGCATTCCACCAAACATTAACAACTTCAGCTTCAAAATATTTGGGGGGGGGGGAGCTAATAAATACGAGAGCCAAGGAATGCTGTCAACATTTTCTGCCCCGAATCTCAAGCCTCAGTAACGTAGTTCCCAATCTGATAGAAAGATGGTATGGCTTCAAAACGAACCAACCCTGAAGCTCACAAGATGCTCTCTCTAAACTCAACAGCGCTGGGCAGCACTCAGAAACCATTGGTGGGTGAATGTGTAACACTGAGATAAGATCTCTTATCTAGTGCGTTGCCTAAAATTGTGTCAGGCAGTGACAGGGTTGGGACTGGAACCCAAATCCGTCAATTCTGAAACCTGCTCTCTAACAAGACCATTTCTCTACAGCTTTTTAAAAGGAATAATTAAATATAGAATCATAGAATGGTTTAAAGATCATCTAGTCCCACCCCCTGCCATGGGCAGGGACACCTTCCACTAGACCAGGTTGCTCCAAGCCTCATCCAGCCTGGCCTTGGACACTCCCAGGGATGGAGCATCCACAGCTTCTCTGGGCAACCTGTCCCAGTGCCCACCCACCCTCTGCAGGAAGAATTCCTTCCTGATGTCCCATCTCAGTCTCCCTCTTTCCGTTCAAACCCGTTACCCCTTGTCCTGTCACTCCCTGCCCTTGGAAAAAGTCCCCTCCAGCTTCCTTGTAGCCCCTTCAGGCACTGGACGGTGCTATAAGGTCTCCCTGGATCCTTCCCTTCTCCAGGCTGAACCCCCCAACTCTCCCAGCCTGTCCCCATGGCAGAGGGGCTCCAGCCCTCGGACCATCTCCGTGGCCTCCTCTGGACTCGCTCCAGAGGCTGAAAACAAACACTGAGTGTTCTAATGCTTTTTGAACCAACAGTGGGAGCTGAGAGCTAAGTGGATTGAGTTCTTGTTGAGGCCAGTGAGGAAGTTTGTAGAAGGGCATGATCCTTACGTGTTCCTGTCTACAGCAAAGTTACAATAAGGGTATTTATTATGCATCAATTAACATCTACTTACGGCACTTGTTAATGAAGTAAAATTTTCCAAGATCATACACATAGCACTTAAATAGAATTTGCCCATTAAAGTTCATACAATTTCTTGCCTTCACATTCTCATCTAAACAACCAATTCACTGCACAGGACTCCATCACCATCATTCCAATCCACGTTACAGGTGTACCCCTTATCTTACAAGGGTGTGCTCCCAACACAGCCTGTAACCCACCTGAAGCCTGGGCAACTTTTACACAAGTTTCTCCCACGACTTTCATGGGTGAAGCGCTCGGCCATTCCCAGAAGGCCCTACAGAACAGGAATCGTGTAAAGACTTCTTCTAAAGCTTCATACTCTCCAGAATTTAAAGAAAAGCTAGGAAAACAAAAGCTACATCATAT